GGAAATGAGTCTCCCCCCCAGCGCCTCTGAACACACTCCCCACCCAGGGCTGGACCTTGGATCCCACGCTCTCAGGCACCAGGTAATGACTTCTCAGGGCCCCCTCTCAGGATGTAGGAGTCCACACCGGCCAGATTTCCTCTCAGCCTGCCCAGCTCAGAGGAGTGTGAGTCAGGGATTGGAGCCCACCCCTCCCTGCAGGCTGAAGAGCCGTCTCAGGAACAAGTCCAGCATCAGGTGTGTCTGGCCTGGAAAACAAGGGACTAGACGAGACGTCCTGAAGCTCAGTGTCATCTGGGAGTTGGGATGACCAGAGGTCTGACTTTTGCCCATGGAGAGCTAGCTGCAGAGACCTGGGGTGATGATGAAGGTGACTCTCAGAACTCTCAGCCTGCCCTTCTCTGACTCAGTGCACTCTCAGCGCTTGGATTTGCTGGAGGAAAGACCACAAACGCTACAGAGGCCTGAGTCTCGGGGGAGACTGCAGCTTCCAGGCCCCAATCCCACCCCACATTCCAGAGCTGGCCAGTAACTGGCTCTTGGAAGTTACTACGTAATTGCCTAGCAGAGACTTAATTACAGGACTGGGCTTTTGGCAGTTTTGAGAGGAGCCTGTTATTTGGCTGTTTCTTTATTAGGAGAGCAGGTGTGAGGTGTTGTTATTAGATGGAGTGGGGGCTGAGCAGCAACAGTAAAGGGTGCTGAGCTGGACAGACAATTGGGACCCATCCCTGCCCCAGGGAACTTGGCCACAAAAGCTGCCAGGCTGCCAGGGTGAAACTTCAACTAGGGTGTCCGGGGCACTACTTACTCACCACTGAACCCTGGCCATCCAGAGACTTCCCCTGAGCCCCCATAACGTGGGAATGAAACTGGGGTGAAATGGGTGTGTAAGGGCGAGGAGAGCAGCCTCAAGCCCTCCTGGTGTTCACACATCACTCTGGTTTCACCTTTCCCTCCAGCCCCAAAAGGCAAGGGCACCACAAGTGCAGAGAAATGAACAAACCCTTAAGGAGTACCGTGTGCCAGGCCCTGCCCTGAGCACTTCACATCCATTATCTTATTTAATCATTGGAGCGACCCTGGGAGAGGGTTAGGTTACCACTCCCATGCCACAGCTGAGGAAACTGGCCCAGGGTTGGGTGGGTTTTTTTACTTCTAAATGCCAGCTGTTTACTTTCCTTTCTTCCTAAGAAATGTCCCCCAAACTAACAACTCTGCTCTTTCTGCTTCTGTCACCAGCACAAAAGTGAGGCCCCATCCCCCCCTGCTTGTATCAATTAACCACCTGACAACCAGTTAACCAACGAATTAAGCCCCTTCCCTTAGCCCCTCAGCCTATGCTTTCTCCTTCCCCTCCATTCTCCATCCAGATGTTAGATGAACATCCTTATAACACAGCTGTTACCAGTCACCCCTGCCTGCGTGGTCAGCAATGCCTGCTCCTGGCAGCCAGAGCTTCTCAAACCTTAAGTTGCTCCTGAATCATGCGGAGATCTTGGTAAAACAAAGATGCTCTCTTGGGTACTTTAATCCATCAGCTCACTGAAACTCATAATGACCTTAAATTAACAGCCTGTTTTACAGATGAACAGACTGAGGCCCAAACAGGTTGCTCAATGTCTGGATGGGGCCGGAAAGTCTACCTTTCTAGTAAGATCCCAGGCGATGTAAATGCTGCTGGTTCATGGACCACATCTCTACACTCTTCTGCCTAGCTATTCCTCTTTCATTTTCAAATAGGAAATATTTATATGGTTGGAAATTTAAAAAGGCATTCAGTAAAAAGTCTCCCTCCCACACCTATCTCCCCATTTGCCCACTTCCCCCCAACTCCACCCCCTAGTGAATACTCTTATTCATTTCTTATGGATCTTTCCAAAGTTTCTCTGCGCCAGTACAAACATGCTCACACTTATCCTGGCCCAAATGGCAGCCTACTATACACACCGTTTGTCAACAGCTTATCAGTTCATCTTGCAGATAACTGGACGCAGTCGGCTGGCGCATTCATTGTTAGAGTCGCACTATTATTCCACGGTGCGGATGCACCATCATTTATTTAATCAGTCATCTCCGGGTGGATGATCTGAGTTGTTTCTGACCTTTCCAGCTGGCCTTTTTAAGCCTTCCACACCCTGGCCAACCTTGCTGTGACCTCCTTCCCATCCCCCAATTCCCAGCTCCACCATCCTGAGCCCCTGCAGAGGCCTTCACACCTCTGGCATGCCCTCCCCAGATCCTCCAGCCCACCCTGATGGCTCCTCTGAATCTCTGACCCCCTGTGGGTCTCCTCCTCATCATTTACCTTCCCTCTCTTCATCTCTCCAAGTAGACTAAAGCAACGTGAAGTCAGGAACCATGCCTTTGATTTCTCTGGGTCCTTCCCAGCCCAGAGCTGGGCACATGGCAGTTCTCAAGAATATTAGTTATATAGTAGAAGTGGCATATGAATGGAACCACTCACTGAGGGCTCTGCGGCTGGTTCTGGGTGTAAGAGTCAGGAGTTACCAAGGTGAGAGGCACTCATACCTCAGAGGCTTCCGAGAAAGAAGCCCTTATCTTGTGCTTGAGTGTCTGGAGTGCTTGGGTGGGTTGTATGGTTGTCTAGTGTGTGATGGGGCATCTGGGGTTCCCTTGTGCCCTTCCCGAGTAGACAGTGGGAGGAACCATGGTGTGGAGGTAGGAGGGTGGAGGGATGCATGGCATAGGTATGTGTGCATGCCCTAGAATGAGCTCCTTCCCTTCTCTATTAACATCCTTAACATCCTTCATGGGCCAGCTCAAGTATTAATTCTTCCAAGAAGCCTTCCTGGATTTCTCCAGCCCACGCTGACCTCCCCTCCTCTGAATTCCTGCTGTGTATTCCTGACGACAATCACTGTTCTGAACTTAGTCATCATGGCCTGCCACCGTGAATCATGTAAAACCTTCTCTCCCTGGTGAGACCCCAAGGCCCTCTGCCGTAGAAATAAGACTTTTCTAATTCTCTCATATCCCCACGTACCCCAAACCCACAGCACAGCGCCGGGCAGTGGGGAAGGCCTCCACGGATACCCCCTGAATGAACAGGAATTGGCCCCAGGAATGCCATGGTGGTGGGTGGGGTGAGACAGGGTTGACCACAGGCGTGTCCCCAACCAGAAGCCTTTGGGGAACACCTCCCAACCACAGTCTCTGAAGGTCCGACTCATCCTGCCCACTGCCCCTGGAATAAGTAAAGAGGACTTTTCAAAAATGTCATTGTCATGAGAAATAAAGGCATGGGAGTAAAGGCTAAATTAAAAGAGTAAAGGGACATGACAAGCAAATGCAATGTGTGAATCTTGATTGACTGTGGATTGAAAAATATGAAAATGACATTTTGGGAGAGGGTGATAGTGATCAGTGTTAAATTTGAGCGCGATGACTATATTGTGGGCACTTAGGAGAATGTCCTTACTCTTAGGCAGTGGGAACTGAAGTACGGATAGGGGTGGGGAGATGTGCCACGATATCCACAACTTTCAACCTTTAGCAAAATGAAAATTAAAAAATAAGCGTGTGTGGAGAGAGGGGGCGGCGGGGCCAATGTGGCAACACGTTAACGATTGGTAAATCCAGGAGGAAGCAATACAGGTGGTCATTTTACTGGTCTTTCAACTTTTTCAAAATGGAAAGTTGAGGAGAAAATGCCTTTGGTACAAAGAAAGATACAATTTCCTGGGAGAAGGCGACGGGGACACGCAGCGGTGGGGCTGTTTCTGGAGCGGCAGGGAAACACTCCCAGCGCCCGTGACTGATCACCGCCTCCCTGCCTTCCACTCCCGCTGCCCAGAAAGCATCAAACTCTAACCCTGTGGCCTGACTCCCCCCCAACCTCAGCATCTCTCCCATTGCCCCCTGGGGCCCTCATCTGAGGACCTTCCCCAGGGGACAGCCACCCCAGCCTAGCTAGGAGGATCCCCCGCATCTTAAAGGCCCAGGGCTCATTGCCCTGGAGAGTGAACCCAAGCCTAAGTGGGCTGGCTCACCTTGAGTTTTTAAAAATTATATATCACTTAACTTCACAGGAAAAAAAAAAAAAAATTGATGTACAAGAAAATGCCAAGATTTTACCTAGTCACCCCACATTCTCTTTGGAGCTCTGTCAATGAAGAGATTTCCACCTTTGTCATCAGATTGGGATGCTAGTCTGTTGCTTCTCGGGTCACCTTTTACTTTCCTAGGGGCATTTGTTGTATCCACTGGAGGCTGGTGCCGTCTCCCAGCGCTGGGCACAGAGTTTTTCTGAAGTTCCCACGCTGACCTGGTCCTGACCCTCCTCAGAAGCCAGGGCCTCGCCCGCTTCC